CCCCCCCACACACACACATTAAAATGATGGGATGCGATTAGTATTTGCGTTCGGTATTTTTTTCTAGACCCTGCGTCTTAGCTACTTAAACTGTGCTGCTGTAAGAGTGATTCCTGCAAGTTAGCACAACACTGTCGCAATGAGAGCTGAGCAGTACCCTCCGTTTGGGAGCAAAGGAGAGATCAGCCTAGTTCACCAGCTGGGCAGCTGGTGAGTTTAATCAGCCAGACTCAGGGGGAAAGTCACTGCATAACTAGTCCAGGAGCTGGCTCGGGCGACATCGCACTCTGGAAAGCTGCAAATGATGCCTTTGAAGCCGAGATAGGCCAGAGAGACAGTTCACCCTCCCATTTCTCCATGACAATAGCAATAAAGGCACTCAGGTGATCTCTTGGGCCTGGAATACTACTGAATAGCTGCTTAGGACCTGATCCCTATCCCTGTCACCTCCACCCAAATATGCAAGTGATAATGCTGTGTGTTGTGACAGATGCCCGTGTATAAATAGTTAAGAAATAAAGTGCCAGTAGATGGCACTCAAGAATATGCAGTGTTGCTACCTCAGGGTTTTATCCCTCATCTGGCGCTATTTGGTGTGTTTCTTGGAGCTCCAGCTTCTGGATTCATGTGAATATGTGAGACTCTCATCTTTTATTTACCAAAAATAGTTTGTAGCCCTTGTGGTTTCAGAGTAAAGCTTGAAAATGTGAGCTGAGTGCACCCCGAAGGCTCAAAATGCAGAAGGTAAAGAAAAACAACCACAAATGTATTATTGTTTTTAATAACTCCTGATTATTAAGCTTCAGAGTAACAGCCGTGTTAGTCTGTATTCTGTATGCATCCGTTGAAGTGAGCTGTAGCTCACGAAAGCTTATGCTCAAATAAATTGGTTAGTCTCTAAGGTGCCACAAGTCCTCCTTTTCTTTTTGATTATTAAGCCAGTCTCATTTTGAGCGAGGGGACTTGATGCATGATTTTTGAATGTTTGAGTCTTGGCAATACTGAATTCCTTCCTTCAGCCCCTTTGCTTCCTGCATCCATGCCTTGTTTATGCTGTCAGGCTGTGAGCCCTATTATAGATCTGCAAAGTGTCCAGCCTGGCTTGCGTGCTATATGAGAAAGATGGTTCAGGCACTAGAAGACTTCGGTTCAAGTCCCTGCTCTGCCACAGACTCCCTGTGTGCCCCTGGGAAAATCACCCTGTGCCTCAGTTCCCCATCTGTACAAGGGATGACAGCCTGGCCTTGCCTGCCAGATGTGTTGGGAGGATAAATACATGAAAGACTGTGAGGTGCTCAGATACTACAGCAATGGAGGCCATAAAAGTACCTTAGAGAGATATAAACATCATAATGGTAAGCTCCTCGGGACAGTCTATGCCCTGCCTAGGGCTAAGGGCACTCAACAAATAATCAACAAAAGTAAAATAAGTGTCAAATGGCCCATGCAAAGGTCCGGGACTTGTTGTCAGAGATCAAGTCCCATCAGTTATATGAAATAACCAGAAATATCCCGCATTGGTTTCCTTCTCTGCATGACATGAGGCAGCATGCCTGGTCACCAGAGGAGTTATGGAATCCATCTTCCTTCCAGCCTCTTATAAAGGTGTTTTTCATGCTTTGACAGACCTGGTGGGGTTTCCTTTAACTGGGGTCTGGGGAACATGTGAAAGCCATTTACAGCATGCGGCATCATCTGGCTTTGCCCGCAGGGGGAGCAGAGGTGTGATGTTCATAGCTCCAATCCTTTGATCTGCCTTGCCTCCGGAAAGGTCTGAGTAGCCACTGCCGGGAAAGCCTGTAACTTGAGGGCAGCCTGGCCAGACGAGCAGTCAGCAAAGCTGGTTTATTGCTTTGCATATATTGGGCTGAGACTTAACAAATAAAGTCAGAGTGTTTCTTTTAAACATGTAAAGCAGCAGGGGGGCGTGTGGGTAAGTATTTATAGTGCACAGTTACAGCTACAGAAGGGAACCCTTAGGGGAAAGTGCAGGTTGATGAAAAATGAAGTGGAGACCAATTTCAGAGGAAAGCTGCACGTGCGTGGGGTTGGGGAACCATAGAGTCCAGGGTGGGAGACCATCAGAAACAACAGAAAACAGGTTCAGATAGCAATGGTTCTTTGTGTGGTGACTGGGAGTCAGGACTCCTGGGTTCTGTAACTGACTCCCTGTATGACCTAGGGCAAGCCATTAACCTCTCTTTGCTTCCCTATCCCAAGCTGTAAGACAGGGATAGTAACAAGAGGCATTTTGAGCCAGAAGGTAGGGCATTAGAATGAAACTCCAGAGACCTGAGGATCTGCTGTTAACCTGTGGTTACCTTATGCAAGTGACTTCTCTCTGTGCCTCTGTCCCCGCTCCGCTTTGCTTGTCATGGCTATTTAGACTATCAGCTGTTTGGGGCAGGGACTATCTCTATGTAGGTACAGCATTTAACACAATAGGGCTACATTCTTGATTGGGGCCACTGCATGCTACAGGAATACAAATAAATTAATAACTAGATCTTCCCTCCTTTGGCTGACAATGAATGTCTTTAAAGTGCCATTAGATCCCAGGTGAAAGGTGCCGAGGAAGTGCCAGATATGTTGAATTGCTCCACCAGATTGACAAGGATCAAGTTTGAAAAATACACAGTTCCACTCTTTCAAATGAAATCATCTCCTCGAACTGCAGCAGCCTTAGCCAGTTCTCATCATGCTGCCTTGAGAGAGTATTTTGAGAAATGAAGCTTTCCAAATAAGTTTATTCTTCTGTACAAATTCCTTATCCCCCCTTTTCAGATGTGGAAACTGAGGCACGGAGAATCCAAAGGGACTGGCAAGGCCAGGATTAGACAATATCCTGATTTCCAAGTCCGCTCCCTGCCTTCAGCTTTCTCTAGTTCTCTGCTGAGGTGCTTGCTGCACACTCTTAGAACCGCACTGATGTTTCTAGATCACATGGAGCATCAGCATTTTGCCCAGCTGTTGATAACACGCCTCCCTTAGCACACAGCCAACAGTGATTATGATGTTCTACATCAGTGGTTTTCAACTGGGGGCCTGCAGACTATATCTAAGATTTCCAAAGGGGTCTGCACCTCCATCCGGAATTTTGTAGGTGTCCGCAAGTGAAAAAAGGTTGAAGGCCTCTGTTCTAGGTGTATCGGGAAGTGGTGAAGAATGAAGTTCTGGACAGAGAGGTAAGACACCCAAGATGTGAGGATCTTTGACAACAGAACGGCACCCTCTGGAGGGTACTATTGTTCTTCCACAAAACTGTTCCTTTCAGTGAATGCTGGCACAGGTAGGCTGTGGTCTAATAATTACACAGCTCAGGATCCTTTCAGGGCTTCTCCCACAGGCCGCAAACAGTAGTGAAGTACAGCATGTGCTAGTCCTGTACACGGGACACGAGACACAAAGGACAGGGGCTGCCTGTAATGCCTGCGCAGGGGGACTGGGTGGCCTTCTCATGGGAAGGCACTGCCCCCTCTGGAACAAGTTACATTCCAAAACCAAAGTGGAACCGTTAACCGCTTTGGTGCAGTCTAAAGTAGGTGCGTGAAACAGTGTGAATTAATAATATAACATCCCAGAAGTTAGAGGTGGACAAGAGCTGCTAGATCAGACTGTGCTGGACACAAGGAGGTCCCAGGGGTCTTCTGCGAGGGAGACTTACAACTGGGGGCAACTTATGCCTCTTATGAGCTGTGGTAGCAGGATTATTGTCCAGCCACTGTGTGTTTGCCATACGACAGCAGCAGCTCGCACCCTTTGGCACCTCAGGAACTGGGTGCACCCTGTGGGCAGCGCTGGGGATCCCCTTCAGCAGCCTGCTTGGTGCCAGGGGGCCTCTCTGGTGTGAATCACTCCACAGGGTCCCACCCCCAGGGCCCAGCTGCTTGTTGTAGGGCAGCACCCCTCGGATCTGACCAGTTCTGTGGGGTGGCAGCACCAGATGTCCCTCTCCAGGCCTCTTCGTGGGGCAGCGCCACGGGACACCATGGACCCAGGCTCCCTATGGGGGCACCGGGGGCGGGGGGCTCCGGGGGGGCAGCGCTGGGGGGGCACCACGGACCCAGGCTCTCTATGGGGGCGTGGGGGGCTCCTGGGGGCAGCGCCGGGGGGGCACCACGGACCCAGGCTCCCTATTGGGGCACTGGGGGGCGGGGGGCTCCTGAGGGCAGCGCTGGGGGGCACCACGGACCCAAGCTCCCTATGGGGGGGCGGGAGGGCTCCGGGGGGGGCACCACGGACCCAGGCTCCCTATGGGGGGGACACTGGGGGGCAGGGGGCTCCTGAGGGCAGCGCTGGGGGGCACCACGGACCCAGGCTCCCTATGGGGGGTCGGAAGGCTCCTGAGGGCAGCGCCGGGGGGGCACCACGGACCCAGGCTCCCTATGGGGCACCGGGGGTGGGGGGCTCCTGGGGGCAGCGCCGGGGGGGCACCACGGACCCAGGCTCCCTATGGGGGGTTGGGGGACTCCTGGGGGCAGCGCCGGGGGGCACCACGGACCCAGGCTCCCCATGGGGGGTCGGGGGACTCCCGGGGGCAGCGCCGGGGGGGCACCACGGACCCAGGCTCCCTATGGGGGCACTGGGGGGCGGGGGCTCCTGAGGGCAGCGCTGGGGGCACCACGGATCCAGGCTCCCTATGGGGGCACCGGGGGGCGGGGGGCTCCTGGGGGCAGCGCCGGGGGGCACACGGACCCAGGCTCCCTATGGGGGCACCGGGGGTGGGGGGCTCTGGGGGCAGCGCCGGGGGGCACCACGGACCCAGGCTCCCTATGGGGGCACTGGGGGGCGGGGGGCTCTGAGGGCACGCCGGGGGGCACCACGGACCCAGGCTCCCTATGGGGCACCGGGGGGCGGGGGCTCCTGGGGGCAGCGCCGGGGGGGCACCACGGACCCAGGCTCCCCATGGGGGGTCGGGGGACTCCTGGGGGCAGCGCCGGGGGGGCACCACGGACCCAGGCTCCCTATGGGGGCACTGGGGGGCGGGGGGCTCCTGAGGGCAGCGCCGGGGGGCACCACGGACCCAGGCTCCCCATGGGGGCTCCGGGGGGGGTCCGCAGGGGAGGCCGGGCCGGGCCGCACTCGGCTCCTGCCCCTTTAACGCGGCGGCGGCTCCAGCCCAGCGCCGGGCCCGGCGGCGGCGCGGGGAAGATGGCGGAGTCCGGCGGGGCCGAGTCCGCCCTGGAGCGGCCGAGCAGGTGAGCGGGGCCGGGGCCAACCTGCCCCCTGCATCGCCCCCCGGGTCCCCCCCTCCCCCATCGCCCCCCCTCGCTCCCCCCTGCCCCCCGGGTTCCCCCCCTGCCCCATCGCTCCCCCCTCGCTCCCCGGATCCTCCCTCCCTGCCCCCCCGGGTTCCCCATCGCTCCCGGATCCCCTGCGCCCCCCGGGTCCCTCCCTGGGTCCCCCCCTGCCCCATCGCTCCCCCATCGCCCCACGGATCCCCCTCTGCCCCCCGGATCCCTCCCCGGGTCTCCCCTCCTCCCTCGCTCCCTGGATCCTCCCCCCGGGTCCCCCATCGCCCCCCGGGTCCCCTCCTTTCCCCTCCCCCATTGCTCCCCGCCATCCCTTCCCCTCCCCTCCCCCCTGCCCCCCGGATCCCTCCCTCCTCCCCCATTGCTCCCTGCCATCCCGCCTGCCCCTTCCTCCTGCTCCCTCCCTTCCCCCCCCGCGGATCCTCCCTCCCCCATCACTCCCCGCCATCCCACCGTCCCTCCCCCTGGATCCCCCCTGCCCTCCCCCACCTGCTCCCCGGATTCCTCCCCTCCCCCCAGATCCCTCCCCGCCATCCCGCCTGCCCCTCCCCCCTGCCTCCTGGATTCCTCCCTGCCCGTCCCCCTGGATCCCCCCTCACCTGCCCCCTGGATCCCTCCCCTCCCGACCTCTCTTCCCTCCCCCCAGCCTTTCTGCTCCCCCTTTTCCCCAGTGCTCCCCTCCTTAACTCTCTGCTGCTGCTTGGCCCCAGCTGCCTGCCCACACTTCCTCCATTGTCCCCATCCCACTGCCCCCTAGCATGCATGCCCCGCCCCTTCTTGCACCCACCTGCTCCCCTCGGCTGTGCCTCTTGCACATACCCCCCTGCTCATGCACCTCTGCCTACCCTGATCCCCGCCTGCCCACCACCAGACGTTGCTCTGTGCCCCTTCCTCCCCCATGCCCCACCTTTCCCTGTGCCCCTCAGTGCATCCACTTAGAAACTCCCCCTCCTCTCCCCACCATGGGTCCCTCTCAACACACAGAGGAAAGTAAAAGTCTGGAGAAGTCCTTTTTTCTGCCAAGAATTAACCCCTTCCTGCTTGGAGACTTAGACTTTGTCTTTCTGCAGCAACAACAAAATGGTGTTTTTTATATCGAGATATCATTTGCTATGTAAAATCATAGTTGGGATAAGATGCAGGTAGTTTTTACCTGAGTATACCTAGTTGAAGTCAGTCCTGTTTCACACCTCCCCCGCAGTTTATTGTGACTTGCTACATCGGGGTAAAAACTACAGCCCCTTGTCTCCACTAGGTTTTTACATCAAAATAGCTATCCTGGTGCAAAACCACACCTCTTCTGCAGCGAGGACACAGTCCAATTTGGCAACTGAACTGGAAGGGGAGGGAGGAAAACGAATACAATGAATGTATTTAATGATCCCTTGTCTCTGATATTTGACCAAAGACATCAGAAGACACCCCCGTCCCCCCCTCCAACCTCCCCAAATCCAGGGTCTTTCCTGGTAAACTAGAGGCGGAGGTGGTGGTGAATTATTGCTAATTCTTAAGCATTAAGATTAATTTTTGGGGAGCATTAATGATTTCTGCAAAGACCAGTCCCTTTGAAGTAAACGTTTTTTGTAAAGATTTTCTCCAGTAGAATCAAACCTAGTCACAAGTTCCTGAAATGAACAATCTGCATAGATATTAATTAATTCCTAGGACTTCCTCCAAGAATGTATTAATAATTCCCAAACAAAAACTAGTCTTTGAAGAAATACTGCATCCTCCTTAGTTTTGTGATGCCGGCTCGTTTCTTCGGGGGAGAGAGAGGAAGTGGGCGGTGGCAAACAGCAAGTGAGTTTGCTCCCTGCCTTAATCTCTCAAACTGGCCTCAGTTCTTGGGACAGAGTTGCTTCCTAGGGAGTGGGCATAGGTGTTTGGGCTAAGATTTCTGACGGGGATTTTCTGGTGTGCTCTTTGTCACACTCCAGTACTGCTGTCTATAGTGTAAATGAAACGGGTTACACTGAGCAATAATTCACCACCACCTCCGCTCTAGTCTACGGTGGAAGAGGGGTTTTGCTGGTATTGCTATACCAGTAGAGAGGGAGTGGCAAACCCTCCTAGTGTAGATGCCGCTGTCTACCAACAGAGGGGTCTTTTGCCTGTATGGCTTATGTCAGTTCCCCAAACAAAATAAGCTATGTCAGCAAAATGACTTTTTTGTGGGTGTGGCTGTGTCTACACTCAGGTTTTCGTTGGTAGAGGAAAGGTGTAAAAAATCATACCACTAACCAACATTGTTGTATCAGCAAAAGTCCCTAGTATAAACCTGGCTACTCTTTCTTGAGTGCTCACAGTGAATTTAGACCCATCATTTTCTATATATAGTTGGGATAATGTTTTCCAATGTGCATTACTTTGCATTTATCAACAATGAATTTCATCTGCCATTTTGTTGCCCAGTCACCCAATTTTGTGAGATCCCTTCGTAGCTCTTCAGAGTCAGCTTTGGACTTAACAATCTTGAGTAACTTTGCATCATCTGCAAACACTGTCACCTCACAGTTTACCCCTTTTCCCAGACCATTTATGAATATGTTGAATAGGCCTGGTCCCAGTACAGATCTTTGGGGGACCCTGCTATTTACCTCTCTCCATTGTGAAAACTGACCATTTATTCCTACCCTTTGTTTCCTGTCTTTTAACCTGTTACTGATCCATGAGGGGACCTTCTCTCTTATCCCATGACTGCTTACTTTGCTTAAAAGCCTTTGGTGAGGGACCTTGTAAAAGGCTTTCTGAAAATCCAAGTACACTGTATCCACTGGATCACCCTTGTCCACATGTTTGTTGACCCCTCTTGAAGTCATTGTGGAATTTGTGGGTAGTTCTCTGAAAACATCTGCTCAATGTGCAGTGACAGTCAAAAAAGCGAACAGAATGTTAACAACTATTAGGAAAGAGATGGATAATAAGACAGAAAATATCATAATGCCATTATATAAACCTATGGTACACCCACACCTTAAATACTGCATACAGTTCTGGTCGCCCCATCTCAAAATATATTAGAACTGGAAAAAGTACAGAGAAGGTGTGACATTCCCCGCTGGTATTACCCTGCTCAGCTGTGAGAACTCCCACTCCTGGGCTATTCATGCATAGCCTCTGGCATGTAAGCTGCTTGGATTGTGCAACCGAATGACACTAGCCAATATCTCCGGTCTCAGACACAGCCCTAGGAACTCCGTCTTGCACTGTCCATTTATGCCCGTTGGATGCTGCAAGCTTATATGAGTCTGGCAATTTAACAAAGAAATTGATATGTACCAGGCTTGTTATCTCAAGGGGAGTCTCTGTCATGCTTCAAACCAAACGCACTGCTTCAGGTAGAATAAACAGATTTATTAACTATAAAGATAGATTTTTATAAGTGATTATAAGTCAAAGCATAACAAGTCGGACTTGATCAAATGAAATAAAAGCAAAATGCATTCTAAGCTGATCTTAACACTTTCAGTGCCCTTACAAACTTAGATGCTCTCACCACAGGCTGAGTGGTTGCCCTTCAGCCAGGCTCTCCCCTTTGATCAGCGTTTCAGTCGCTTGGTGGTGATGTCTGTAGATGGAGGTGGAAGAGAGAGGAAGAGCATGGCAAACATCTCTCCCTTTTATCATGTTCTTTCTTCCCTCTTGGCTTTGCCCCCCTCAGAGTCAGGTGAGCATTACCTCATCGCAGTCCCCAATTGTCCAAAGGAAGGGGGGTGACTCACTCGAGAGTCCAACAGATCCTTTTGTTGCTGCCTCGGCCAGCATCCTTTGTTCCTGTGAGGCTGGGCTGGGTTTGTCCCCTACATACCTTGATGAGGTGTGAGCTGACCCTCTGCTCTTAGAGAGTTCTTGCCAGTTCTTATTTTAAGCCATGAAGACACATTTTCAGCCTCAGAACTATATACATGAAATTACAACCTATAACATTACGTAAGAACAATTACTATCACATCACTATAACAACAATGCTCAGTGCATCATGAGCCTTCCGAAGACACCCGGCATGACAAACTTTGCATTGGATACCACACAATCATTCTACAGGGATGAACATGGGGGTGCTGGGTGTTCCCCCCGAGGTACAGAGCATCACAGAAGAGCAACAAAAATGGTTAGGGGTATGGAACAGCTTCCATATAAAGAAAATTTTAAAAGACTGGGACTTTTCAGCTTGGAAAAGAGACGACTGAGGGAGGATGTGACAGAGATCTATAAAAACATGATGGGTGTGGAGACAGTGAATAAGGACGTGTTAGTTACCCTTTCACATAACACAAGAACCAGGGGTCACTCAATAAAATGAACAGGCAGCAGATTTAAAACAAACATGAGGAAGCACTTATTCATACAGTGCACAGGCAACCTGTGGAACTCATTGCCAGGGGATGTTGTAAAGGCCAGAAGTGTAGCTGGGTTCAAAAAAGAATTAGATCTGTTCATGGTGATGAACATTAGCCAAGATGGTCAGGGATACAACCCCATGCTCTGGTTGACCCTAAACTTCTGACTGCCGGAAGCTGGGACTGAACAACAGGAAATGGATCTTTTGATAAACTGCTCTGTTCTTTTCATTTCCTCTGAGGCATTTGGCACTGTTCGAAGACAGGATACTTGGCTAGCTGGCCTGTTGGTTTGACCCAGTATGGCTGTTCTTAGTTATTAGAATTAGCTGTATGGGGGATAGGAAATGAAGGAATACTGGGATTCCATGCATTCCACTTTATTTGTATTTTAAAAAAGAAAATCCCTTAAAAATCCCCAACAGATCTTCATGTTCGAGCAATGTCGTTTGGCTGATGCCAAGAGTAAGGTTGCTGGTCTCCAGAGCATTCTTTATCCAGGCCGCTGTAGAGAAGGTTGGTTGTGGGTGCAGGGTGAAGGAGAAGCAGTGAGGGCAGAAATTCCTGGAGGATTCTCTCTCCACTTCCCCCGGTGTAATATCAATA